GATGGTAAGTGGATACTGTGTTCCATAGACAACTACATTTATCCTCGTAAAGAATCAAAATGAATATGCGTTGTCACCCCTGAGAATTAAGATGCTTAGAATGCCTCGTTTTCATATAAAAAGGGTCTTTGGTTCTCTACACTCACCATATAGTAACAACAAGCTGTTATTTTACGCTGATATCCTGTGAGAACGTGGTCCTACCCCGGTCGAGCCGAACCATTCGTGCTACAACTACAATGTAGCTGCAGCGTGGCTTTACTACAATATAACTTAATCTATTGTCTGTATATAAGTGATAAAAAAAGGCTATCTAAACATCTAAGATTAACGGTTTGTATCCGGCTAATAGAGTGCGAGACATTACATTTTCAAACAAGACTTATACGCTAACGACCCTGGTAGTAGTAGGGTTGCCAATCCTAATACATTTTTACAAATACTTTATGGTACCTCAGGGAATATTTATTCCCCAAATATTTTAAGGCTTATCATCATCACCCTAACAAACCACTTGCTGAACGCAGGCCTCTCCCAAGGAATGCCAGAACACATGAGCCACTTGCATCGTAGTAGACGTATCATATACCCTGTCCTAGCCTGTACTTATTTCTTGACGTCTAATAGGTATGCAAGGTTTGATTTCAATAAATTAATATATAATATATTTATAAAAAAGTGTCCTTTTTTTAAAGGTCCTAAACTATAATTGTATTGCTCTGTTCAATAATCATAAACAAATTTTAAACGAGAATTATTGCTTTAGGTATTCTAATTAACCTATAATCGATAAAAGTTAGTATTTAAGCTCTTTTTTCAAACATAGAAAATCTAGGACTGTTTATTTGGAAATGATGAGTTGTTTAAAAGTGTAAAAATATCACCTGTCAAAGATCTGTATATGCAGGTATGTGTACAGTTAAATTACAGGCTGTGAAGCATTCTATCTTAGTCTTTAGAAGTGACAATGCATCTGTAGCTTTGTGCAGTCAGTTATAATCAGGTGCACTGTAAATTCGTTCGTCATTTGAGATTTACAAAAAAGAAACTCTTTTTCACTGCTTTTTTTCGTTTGATGAGTGTAGAGAACCGGAGACCCTTTTTACTGGATACGATGCATTCCATCTTAGTCCTTAAAGGTGACAATGCATTTCCTTTTTGATTTTTAATCGAGCATAGACATAGATGTTTATGAACTACAGCACCCATTTACCATCAGGTAGGCTGTATGCTCGCTTGTCATTCTTATTCTATAAAAAAATTAACTTACTTAAAAAAGGAGGCTAAGATTGGCAGCAACCCTATGTTACACGTTAACAAACGAACGATGTCACGCAAGTGCAGAGCTTTGCATCTATTCATAGACACGTTCACGCACACATGATGAAACCACACCATAATTTGTGCTCCCTTAGACCGTTACCGACTATTAAAGTCCACTAATGAACACAGGCCTTCCCCTCATAGGCGGGATATTTGCTATAGTAACCACACTTGGCAAAGAAATTGGCAACCGCAGTTTTTTTTTAATTTTTATTCTTTACTAAAAATACTCTGCTGCCCATCTCCTGATTTCTTTCCCTCTGTCACCTCTTACGACACCCATGGGATGATTTGGGGTAGGGGATATTCTTACACCGCCATTACACGCTATAGCCTTCTAGGCTGTTCCCAGATCAGAGATCCAGATCAGAGATCCAGATCAGAGATCCAGATCAGAGATCAGATTCTTTATTCCTTCAACGTACTTTTTTTAACAATGTTGATATATGTGCCGATTGTATCTTTACAATTTAAAATATTTTTTATAGGATAAGGGTGACAAACGAGCACACAGTCCACCTGATGATAAGTGGTTGCTGCGGCCCATAGACATCTACATCTATCCTCTATTACAAATCAAAATACAGATGCGTTGTCACCCATGAGGACTAAGATGGAATGCCTCATTTCCAGTAAAAAGGGCCTCTGGTCATCTGCACTCACCAAGCGAAACGCAGAGGTAAACCTCTACTTCACGCTGGTGTTCTGTGAGGTCGTGGTACCACCCCGGTTCGAGACGGCCCATCCGTGCGACAGCAAAAGCTGCCGCGTGGCTCTACCACTGTTAAAACTATATTATAAACTGTTAAATATATATTACATTGTCACCATCACAGCCCATCAAAGCCCCCTGCTGATTTTTTTTGTTTTAATTAAGTATTGATTAAATGTTTCTCGTAATATTATACTTATATGAACTAACGGAATACATATCTTCTTCTGTTGATATTTAAATTACAACCGTATTGCAACTTTAGTAGTATTTGTACGTGTAAAAAAATTACACAACATATAATACTTAAACCAAGGACAATAATAATTTTTATTGAGTTCTGAAATTAAGTTGTTTTTTGGATTTTTTTTTTAAATGTATTGTAATATTAAAAATAGTTTATGAAATTTTATTAAATTATTAAACGTAAAATTTTAAGCCGTTAAAACATTTCTTTATACATATTTGTGCTAATTTTGTATGATCGTTCTGTAATATCCGGTCACACACGGCGACATTGTGTAAGACCTTTGCCAACCGAATTTCTTTTACTTGAAATCGAAAGTTTTTTTTTGTACACTTCGCAACACATCCGCTTATATCATCTCACGGTATCGCATATACCACTATAGACCTACTTTCTTTTAACCTAAGAGTGAAAGTTATGTGAACGTCTCTGGTGACTTGTCTTTATGTTTCTGCTGAGTGTATCCTATTGTTTATATAATTTTCTGTTGACACATAGACCTGCACGATCTCTGTTGAATCGTGTGTGTTAAATGATCACGTCTTTACTAATTGAAGATGTCAAGTAAACTTTCGCCTAACAAACGGAAATAGTTATTACAATCTAAACATTTACTTTTGCCATATCTAAATCATTTACTATTAATATTTATAATTATTGGCAGTGTAAAATATTCATCCATATCATCGCGTGGGTGTCGCAAGAGTGAACAGGGGGAAACAAATCAAGGCAGCAGCGTCTTCCTAATAACGACTAAAAATAAAAAAAACTGCGGTTGCCAACCCGCTTGCCTGCTTATCAACTATGTATAATAACCCTCCTTTCAGGCATTCTATCGGGAGGCCCATGTTCAGCAGTGGACTTTAATAGGTTGTAATGTATGAATGTATAGAAGATATTCTACTAGGAGCACATGACCCACTGAAAGGTGAAATTATTAAATCAACAGTAACATTACAATTATGACAAAATATCCTCTATCAGGTAATCTATGGGGGAGGCCTATGTTCAGCAGTGGACTTTAATAGGCTGAAACGGTAACGATAACGGTAAGTGAGATGATTATACTGACATCTATAGGAAACAAGAAAAAAATTCTAGTGTTTTCCGTAATTGCCTCTTTCGCCCACCCATAGAACGAAATGGAGTGATGGATTCTATTTACGTAAATAAAGCAATGACTTTTTATAAGTATTATGTAATAATCTGTATTGAATAAAAATTATTATATTCTATTCCACTCTGTCACCACGCGGCAATCGTGCTGGCGGCGGATGAATTTGGAATATTAGAAATCAAATTTTTATATAAAATTTATTAAAGTTACCTCCAAACTAGGATTTTCCCTTGTACCGTGTGGGCAGATTACATACATAAATTTCACTAGGACTAACATCCATAACATCGTAAGCCATGCAAATACTTGTTGAGTGCGGGATTCGAAGACGCGGCCCTTAGCGCAGCAACTCATTGCTATGCCACTGCATCGCGGTGCCGTCAATTTATACTTTACAGTAAAATCTTAATAAAAAGCATTGCAAAGGACGGAGTCGCCTTCCTGAATAAATTCATAGTTATAAACAATCAGTTATTAAAACAGGCGGTTGAAATATGTCCGGTATGAATATTTTTAACGTACCACTTTCGCTTATTAATAATTTATGGGCGGCAAAAGTTTCATCTTTAGTGTTTATTTATTCAAATAATATATAATATATATAGAAATTTAAAGTCTACTGAATTTTAATATTGCTTGTCTTTTGTGTTGGAACGCATATTAAAGTTTAGTTTACAACATCTTACGAGAAAAAAGACTTTATACGAAACAAAACGATTTGCTATATTTCGAAAACAGTTAATTTTATTTAAACATCAAGTACAGTATTGCGATCCCAATACTGTACTCAATTTTAATATTTTACTGTGGAAACCCACACCTTCCAATTATTTGTCTCATCTTACGGCTGTACAAGGCACATGAATAAAACACATGATAACAGGGAATGGTGCTAAAGATTCAAGTAATTTGGTGCTGAAGTCTAAATTGGCCTGCCCAGACTTCCAAGTGAATCCTGATACAAAACATGAATAGCTAGTTATGATGCTTAAAACATTAGGAAGTCAGGATAAAGGAAATATTGAAAACAATTGCATTCTGTATAAATTATAATTTTTTTTACGTGGATCCATCGTAAAATATAATTGTTTTAAATAATGTAACATTCATACCATAAAAATAATTCAGTAATACATATATGACTCGTTTCAATATATACATCAGTATTATAAGTGTTAAAATAAAATAAAACTTAAATAAAATCATATCTTTGGATATAAACTTAAAAATATTTGGTACAAATAAAAACAGTATGATACACAATGCCTTCTAAATAAGCATCTAATAACATCATATAGACTACATAAATATAAATGTACATACATAAATATCATAAAAAGACTAAATCAAAATCAGTCATGAACTTAATATGAAAATAAAATAAACGATAAAAATACTGCGAAGTAACATTCACACAGGCATACCGCACACATGCATACACACACATGCAAACACAATCACAAGATGTGTCATTAAATAAAACGGTGGTTATGGAATAAGTAAGAATGAATAAGTTATTGTTGAAGTGTTATAAAGGCTTGTATCGTTTTAGACTTAGATTATGCGAATAAATAAATAAATAAATAACTCGTTCATCATTTCTACGTTTGCTTAGCGTGAGCGGCATATGCTAAGCTCTGGGCGTCTAGTGACCTGCCCCAACCACCGCTGCTTTCCCAGCCATGTTCCTCATGAGCTGGCTCCGACCAACCGCTGTTCTTCTTAGAATCTAGAAGTTTCTTCAAAGCTCCAAGGGCAGCGGCGATAAACGCTACCTTGCCAAGTAGGTAGGCCTTGAACACAGCGAACGCGATGATGCCAAGGAATAGGGGAATAAGTGCTGCCAACTTCAGTTTGATAAGAGCCAGGATTGGGAGGAGCTTCTTCAGCTTCTTCTTCTTCTTACCACGACCTGTAACCATAATAAATATATATTATATAAGACAATTTCAAACATATAGCTTATAGGAATATTGAACAAATTAATTAATTAACGATTATTTGCCATGGTAGATCAAGGGTTAAGCGCTCGCCGTAAATTTCACACCACGCAAGCAACCCGGGTTCGATCCCCGCCGAAATCAGTAAAACGTTCATTACAATTTCATGTGCTCATTAACCACATGCTTGGCGATGTAGGAAAACGTCGAAACCAAAGTCAAAAGCGAGGCCTGTGCCCAGCAGTGAAGCATATTATATGCTGCGACTTTACTATACTTTTACGTTCATTTCGTAAAAAAAAGTAAAAATGCTTATTTCCTTCAAAGTTTTTACATAAAACATCTACTATTAATTGACTCTAAGTATTTTAATATTAAATTTGCTCTGTGTAAGAAAAACTTTTTAAGTGACGTTAAATTAAGGACAAAATATACAACAATAATCGCGGTATTTAGTAATGTCAACTAAAATTAGGGGAATGTTAATTTCATCTCGTTATACCGTCAAGCACTATGAAACTCATTAATGTTTCCGAAAGATAAACTTGAGCTTCTGCTAATGTATATAACAATGTGTTAATAGAATGCTTTCATTTGTGCTTAAAAGTCGGGTTAAAATTGTATAAAGTTATATGCGGAAATTGAAAAATATAATTAACAGTATTGAATTTTTTAATAATAGTTTTCTTTTTTAACTAAGGACTTGGAGTAAGCTATAGTATAGTATTTAAAATGTACTATTTTTTTTTTCAGTTAATTGCGGTTTATTTGTTACTAAACTTATATTTACCTTCCTCATCGACGGAATTATCTTCGATAAAAGATTTCGGCATTCTCAACTGTAAAGCGTGGTTGTCCAAGAAGTCAACGACATTATCCATAATTCTTTCTTCAACTTGCTGTTCTCTGGTCTTCGGGTCTTGGTCTAGGGGCTCATAACTTCGGGAAGATCGTGGACTTCCTGTCCTGGCGAATGTGACTCCTTCCACTAAGTTCAGATCTTTCGATACGGCAAGATTATCTGTGAACTTCATCGCCTTTTCCTGTGAAGCAATAAAATATTATTAATTGGATGTTATATCGTTATTATATTATATTACGTATAATATATCGTTAAATTAAGATTAAGAGATAATTAAAGGAAAAGTAAAGTTAGTTATAAAACATAAATATAACTAAAAATTTGAGTAATAAATGACCTGCCTTTGTTTTTTATGAATTTTTAATGTAATCGTGGAAAAAGTATATAAGTTTCGACGCATAATAACTATTATTAGAGACCCAGAAACCATGGGAGAAATTAAAAATATATAAATATAACTAAAAGTATCTCTTGCTCTTCCTTTTATTTTTACTGGTCAATAATAATTATTTTTATAGGCAATAAATATAAAAAATCGTGCATAGAAATCTTGTATTGACAATAATCAGCATTTAGTATCCTTTCTTTTAGTAATCCTTATTATAAATGGTGAACTTATTATAAATGGTGAAAATTATATCCTAATATAATGTTAAAATTTCAATCAATTGTAGGATATTGCTGAAGATTAATAGATTGAAATGATTATGACGGTGCTGATGATGATATTCTAACAAGCTTTAAATTTTCATCATGACCTAGTCCAGCGGTTAACGGTATCCGTTAATTATCACTTCATTCACTTCACTTCACTACACTTCACACACCTTCAGACACAGCATGGTGTCAGTCTCCACGCAATCCCTCAGCGTTGAGATGAACCGCTCCATGACACCGTCTTCCTTCGCCGTCGGCATCGCCGCGGCTGCTGCCACTAGACACAATACCACGAACGCTTTCATCTTGCACGATGGCGAATGATCAATTGTCAAGGAATCCTGTAAGACCGACAGTTTTATTTTGTGCCCCCCACCTCTTCAAATTTCCGTGTGTCACGTATGGACTCCGCATGTATAAGGCTATGACGAAACAAAACAAACAAATCCCGCACTAAGAACATTAAAGAAATTAACATGACTCCGCTAGGTTTAAGTGAAATATTAAAAAAGTGTGTTATGATGACAATGATTCAGGGTCAAGTATTTCTTACGACTGTACCTACTAGTTTTATTCATTTCACATTTCTATTTTTCAATTGTCATTTTACATTAAATTAGTCATATTTTTTATTTAGTAAATATATTACTTTTTACATATTTTACTGAATAAAATAAGTTCTTTTTTATTCTTATAATATAATTACAAATTTATTTGTCAATCTAATAAAAACAATTTATTATTTAAATACAAATTTTAATTAAGAAATGTTATTTTTATCAGTGAATATTATTATTTTAAAATTGTTTATTTAAAATCGTTAAATATGTAATAAAAGTTAAAACTTTAAATTTTCATAATCGTAAAATGTATTCTAATTAACATAATCAGCATCAATAGTTCACCGTTGGTCATAGGCCTCCACAGCATAGCCCTATAGCAGTTTTTTTGCAATATTATACAACATGCTTCAATCAATTGCGTAACCCTCTGTAACTTGCTTGACCAGGACCACCCAATGTAGAAAATTACACGTTCATTCATTCACTTTACATAACAATTTATAGACATATTTTTGTATAAAATTTTCGAAAGTCATTGATAATTTTCCCATTTAACACCGGATGGTCGATCCTTCGACGATATTTGCGTCATTTGTATTCGGAAAAAAAATATAATGCCCATTTGGAGGCGTAGCAATGCATTAAGCGAAAGTTTGAACTGTTTAGAAACAATGTCTGTAAATTGTAACTGAATGTAAACGGCTGAATTATGTAATTCGCGTATATTATTTTTTCAAATGCTCTATAAAATTTATATACTCGTAGATGTATACCGTAAGTTTAACAACCATAATTACCTAATATTTTTATATGTGACACAGACATGTAGCAGCTATATTATAGTTGTAGCACCAATGGCTCGGCATGACCGGGGAAGGAGCACGCTCTCATAGTATAATAGCAGCTTAAATCTCCTGTGTTTCGTAAGGGGAGTGAAGAGAACCGGAGATTCTTTTTACTGACGTGACATTCCATCTAATTACTCCGAGGTAACAACGCATCTGTAATTTAATTCTTAATCAAGGATAGACGTCTCTAAGAGCCAAAACGAGTTTACAAACCCACCTGTTGATACCATATTTACTTAATTCGTCACCCATATTCTATTAAAAACTTATAAGTAATTTATTTAGGTTATTGCTCTGAAACTAAAAATGTATTTATTTAACATACTGCATTGAAGTATTTAAAAATCATACAGGAAAATAATATTCTTATTATGATAAAGTCACGTCTAATAGTTAATATGACTTCTTTTTGTCTAGGTTTCGGTCCAAGTTAGTAGCACCCTTTAAAGTACTTCTGACATTTGTAGCAGTACATCCGCTATTGTGTCGGGTTTGAAGGGGCGAAGAGCCAATATAATAACAAGCTCTGAGACAATCTATCTTGGTTCTCGGTGGTGACAACTTCAGTTGCAAATATCCGTTTGCTACAGCCACTTATCATAACCACTATTTTAAAATTAAGACAGAACAATAGTTACCAAATTTAATTAAAATATTTCAGTAGAAAGTTTTATTGTTAAGATGAGAACATAACGGTATCAAGCATAAATTAATTTCTAGCTTATGACTAAACTTTAGTATAGTTTGGGAAAATGCTTTAATTTTTTTAGGTTGGTATTATATTTAAAAAAGTTTTCGTTTTTTATTTTTTTGACATTTATATTTTAATTACATTTATATTTGCCCCTATTTTACAATAAAATGTTATTTTTTTTTCTTCTTTCTATTAAAATCAAACGAGATTTTTTTAATAATAAAAGGTTTTTAAAACAACCAGTAGCAACTTACTAAAATTTCATCGGTGTCCTTCACACCTTTTTTCGTTAAGTCATGTTATTTTTTTTTTCATTTAAATAAAGCAACCAGTAAATATATTATTAATATTATCGTCACCATTACAGCCCTTCAAAACTCCACTGCCTTCGCCATAGATTATCTCATATAATATTTGCTAGAGTTGCCACCCTTTGCAAGCGGGTCAGTTTTTATTCGGAAGGCGCTTCTGCATATCCCCTAGTTTGAATCCATCTGTCAGCTCTTACCGACACCCACGGGACGACATGGGGTAGGAGATATATTTACACCGCTACTACAAGCTTAATATATTACTAGCTGTTCCCCGCGACTTCGCTCGCCTTTTAGGGTTTTTATGTTTTTGCGCGGAACCCTAATACTTTTTCTAAAATAAAAGTAGCCTAAGTTACACCTTATGAAATCAGCTATCTGCCAGTGAAAATCCCGTCAAAATCGGGCCAGCCGTTTCGGAGATTAACTGGAACAAACAGACAGACAGAGAGACAAAAATTTTTAAAATTGTATTTTAGTTATAAGTACCGTATTTACTTTAATATGCATTTAGTAAAAAAACTGTAATTTTCACATTACAAACAGACACTTCAATTTTATTTATTTGTAAAGATTACTATTGTTTAGAAGTTGTCTATTTTAAAAAACTACCTTCTTACAGGAAAATAGCTCAAGCTGGACAATTGGCATCTTGAAATTTATTTAAATTCTTTAAAAGTTACTTTGTAACCGCCTTCGTAGTTCTAACACTGCCTTATGGTTGACTGGCAGAGAATGATTTTAGCATTAAGTACGCGTTTTGATCTTTGTACTGTTGTGAGATTCAATAAACTTTAAAGACATAAATAAATAAATAACAACGATTGAAGGGTATTGTTGTTTGGAAGGAAAAGCTACGTGTAATTATTTCGAGTACTCGTAATACAACTTTGTCACAATCTACTTCAAATTCTATTCACAAAATCTCAGTCGGAAACTTTTTGCTTCATTTAAAACATTAAATCCCTATTGTTAAGAAGTTCGATTCTCCATTTCTCTATACAAAGGTGATGGCTCCATTGACGTCGAAGCTCAAACAATGACATCTGAATCGGTGAGAGTGCATTGTCCACTATCCATATTCAATACGGCTTCTAAAGATCAACATATTTCTTCAAAAGTCTTCTTTAACACAAACAAAACTAAGTTGGTAATCGATTGAAGGCTTGCTGTTTACCGTTTTCTAGATGTAAACTTGGCTGGGAGGACAAAACGTCGGCTCATTTCCAAGCACATGTTGCATTGGTAAGTAACAGGGGAAAATTTCCTTAGATGCCAAATGAGTACCTAATCATCAATTTGTGTTCGAGAGCTGATGGATGTTAGGTTTTGTGCTATTCTAGCCTTTGTTTTATGTTACAATAGCGTTCACAAGTTAGAACAGCTATTGTATAAATTTAATCACACTTCAAATGTAGTTTGTCTTCGTATACTTCTTTCATTTCCTCCTTCGAGATTTGTTTCTTAAGAGGTTGTAATTTCTTAAAGGAAGTAATATTGTTATTCTATATGAGTTTTCTTGCTCTGTAACAAGTGGCAACTTAATAGAAAGTTAACTTTTAATAATAACTATCAAAACCAATAGAACTTACTGCAGTTATAAAAACTGAATTTATTCAATTAGCGTTTAAGCTTACGAGAATGCTTAGCTTAAACGCTAAAAGTTACACAGTACAGTTCTACAGTTCGATTTAGCTTTCCTGAAATATTATTAGTTAAATGTTATTAAAATACGAGTACAGTATAGACCTCCTCCATAGATTCCTTCATAGAGAGGAAACATCGCCATAATTGCCAAGTTTCGCAGGCAAGTTGGCGACCGCAGTTTTTATCAGGAAGATGCTGCTGCCGATTTCCTATTTTAGTTTCTCTGAAAGAGGAAATAGTCAGCAGACCATATGGGGTAGAGGTTATTCACTATATGTGCAATTTGTAAATATACTAATGGTGTATTTATTTGCATGATATGAAGAAAAAATTCTGAATGAAATGTGACCAATTTTTTTAAATTGGTATTTTAATTCTTTTCTTTTTCTGTTTTTTAAAACGTTACACTCAAACTAGGATTTTCTCCTGTATCGTGAAGGCAGTTTACAAACCCAAATCGCACAAAGATAAACATCCAGACCCGGTACAATTATTTGTAGGCCATACAAATACTTGTTCCGTGCGGAATTCGAACCCACGGCACCCAGCGCAGCAACTCAGTGCTAAGCCACTGCGCCACGGAGCCGTCAATTAAACCCATTTGTGCAAAAATTACAGTTTTAACGATGGAACAATTTTGTTTTGTCTTTGTTATTTTATAAATAAATGCAAAAAGATCTTATAGTCTCAAATATATGGCGATAACTATACTATTTAAAAGACATTTTATTCTAGAACTAAAACATTCAGACTGAAGATGGAAGCAGTGTAAAGATAAGGTACTGCGTTCTTAAAACGCCTAGGACTGATTAAGACATGTAGCTTAGAAATACGTTCCCATTGCACCATATAAATTGAAATTAACCCTTTCGCTGTACCGTACACTACATATAGGTCATTGTTATTGACTTACTATTGTGTCGGAAAACTGGACAGTGAATGTGTTAAGTTTAGTGTTCTAATATTTTAAACTATTATACACCAGTGCTTAATTACTATTGCACCTGATGGCAAGTAGTGTTGCCATAGTCAATGGTAGAGCGCACTGACTTAGCATATAAAATCTTATTCCTATTTGCTTTAAAGACACCCACATTATAAACGGACAGAATGACAGAGTTTTCTTCCAGTAGACCCAACGTACAGATGTACACGGTATGTACACCTACAGGCAAATATATTATTAATATTAAAATGTCTATCTTAATATTATAATATTAATTCAAACCTATAAAATTAATA